TCCGACACTAAAACCGATAACTTTGGTTACTGTTCCGGTACCTAAAGTTTGGAACCGATTGGGACAGTTCTAATTTTTCGCTTTATAGAATCGTTAACAATTACAATGCCAACGCTATTTGATATTTAAATTCAATTTTAAAAAGTAATATATTTTGGTTAGATCATGAATTATCTAATACTTTTGAGAAATCTCAATAAAATACACGATGATCGATTAATTTATATATCCAAATGTGATAATCATATATTGGATGGATCAACCTTTCCCCTTATCTTATCAATAAAAAAGCACCTAACATTTATAAATAATCAAATAACATAGAGCTCCAATGTATAACCGAATATTATGGTGGATATAAATTCTGACATTAATGATACAACAAAAGTAAAAAAACAACTACCTTTTACGAAATTCTATCACGTGTTTAAAGAGGTACCTAGAACGGATTCTAAAATATTCGAATCTAATATAACTGGTTACAATTCCAAGCAAATTGACTTGGTATGGGTGAAGTCGTTGTACATTTCCTAAGGATACTCAAATAACAAAAAGAAACAAAAAAATTCGATGCTATAATAATAATAAATAATTAAATAAAAACAAACAAACAAACAAAGGGTTTCCTTTCGATATTTACAAATTGGAAATAGGAGCAAACTGACACACAACACATTCATCAAAAACAAATACATTAAAAAACCCACAAACACACAATAATATCATATCATTTCTATATGAAAATAAATCTTTAAAACTTAGCAAATAGTTTCCTTTCGACATTTATTTTCTTTTTGAGGAGATATCATATTCCAAAGAATGTGTAGCAGAAAACAAAATTGATGCAAAAACAATCAATTCGAAAAAGTATATGTACAACTGTGTTTATTGCTAAACTACCAACATAAACATTGTCTTGGATAGTCTCACGATTTACAAAAAAATATTGATATTTTGTACAAATTCTACAAAAAAAAAAAAAAAAGAAAAAAAAAACCAACTTTTACATGCCTAACCTTGTAACTTGTCTTTTATAAAAACATACATACTCATTAATATGTTTAAATAATTAGAAGAAAAAAATGAATTTTAAATATTTTATGTTAACAATGGTGGATCATGATTGAACAAACAAAATAAGTTCACTCTAACTAATAAAAAAGGATCATGTATTCAGTATTCCTACCATTTCATCCATGAACACCTGTGTTGCTTGTCATTAGGATTAGCAAATTGTAGTCATGCTGGAAGTGAAAATTTAATAAGAAAAAAAATAATATAATAAAAATAAATAAAAGACGAAATTACAGTTTTGGTCCCTTTGTTTAAGTGTATTTTTTTGATCAAGTCCATGAAAATCTTTTTGCAAATGTGGTCCCGATTTCAACATTCTCGGACATTTTTGGCTTTTCTCAGAAACATCATTAAAATAACTTTAAATGCATGTAAAATGATTGTATTACCCCCCAAATATAACCTTTTCACCTTGCATCTACCAAAGGGCACATTCTGAAACCCATTGTTGATCCTGTTCATTCCAGTATTGATTCAAACACCCATAGCAATGTTAATATTCTTCTCCTTAGTGTATGTCTTCTGCTGCATATGGTATGTTTCTGATCACTTTCATTCTTTATGAAACCTATAACCTATCCAAAATTGGCCTATAAATGTCATATTCACCAGATGACTATCATTTTCCTTTTCATAGTCATGAAAAATTTGAACTACTGAAGAGAGAAAAAAAAAATGAATATATTGTTAGTTCTTGCATTTATCCCTACCTTTAAGGCCTTATTATTATGGAAGTTTTATACCAAATAAAGTCAGTAAATTTGAAACTAACAATCAATCCACAAACAACAATTAATTTAATCAAAACCCCAAGCTAACACATGTTACAAGGTTACCTTCCTAGCTGGAGATGGGCATGTTCTTGACAGTTGCACTATCATACATAAACCATAAGCAAATTTGGGCCCCTTTGATATGCCATGTGAAATTTGAGCCTTGAATCTTGAAAATTTCAACTTGAATACTCGATGTTGAGACATAGGCGAAAGGAGGTCACCAATACTTTTTAGGAAATGCTTCAATCATCGATCTTCAAGAAATAATTCGTATACAATTGTTAAAGGCATCGAGATTCATGTACTTCATCGCCTCAGTCTTCAAATCTTGCAAAACATCTGATTAGTTCCAGACGCATGAGAAAAATCTAACCTAACATCGATCAAAAGAAAAGACTAAGAATGAATGATGGTGGGCGATATATGTACGTAGAGAGAGAGAGAGAGAGAGAGAGAGAGAGAGAGAGAGAGAGAGAGAGAGAGAGAGAGAGAGAGAGAGAGAAAGAGAAAGAGAGGCATTGGTGGTAAAGCGTGGTGGTTGTCGTTTACATCTTCTGTCCTTGGGTGGTGATGGAAGTAGCACCGTCTAGTGCTTATGCTTCTAGGGTTTCTAAAGAGTATTTGTAGTGCAGACAAAGTTGATCATCAATGTTATAGCCGAGATATGAGGGATGGCCAATGCAAATTTTTGAAGAATGGGTCAAAATCTGAGATAAGGGAGGCAGATTTCCCTACATTTTAGTATTCAAACATTAACTTTAATATTATTTAGTAAAGCCTAGTTGTACTATTAAAAATAATAATTAGAACGTTTAAAAAAAATATTAATATTATAATCTTTTTAGAAATAGAAATAGTTAGCTTTCTTTATAAGATAATATATAGGGTAAATTACACGGATGGTCCCTATGGTTTAGGGTAATCTGCGAGTTTGGTCCCTAACAACTTTTTTTAACTCGGACCATCCTTATTTTATATTTTGGTTGCACGCTTGGTCCCTGTCCTTTCTAAAAAGACTAATTTACCCTTATAGATTTCTTTTATCTTTTTTAAATTTTTAGTTCATTAAACAATTTATTAATTAAATGGGGAAAACATATTAACCAAATAAATATTGGCATGATTCAAGAACACCGAACCCTTCTCCCCTTTTGACCTCCCCTCTTTCGTTATGTTCAGTCATCGGAACTACCACCAAAACAAGACAACTAACACCACCTCCGACAACCATCATTACCTCCGACAACAACCACACCTCCGGCGGCAAGAATACATGATGAAATGAAATCTAGAAAAATCAAAACAACCAAAAAATTACTGAAATTGCTAAAATTGCTGAAATCAACTAGATGAAATCAATTTCAGAAAATTACCAGAACAATCCCAGAGGAGGCAAACTAACTGATTGAAGGAAAAATGGATGCAACTCCATTTAACAAACAATAAATCAAACAATTAAAATTGATCTTGAATGTTCATTGTAATCATAAAGAAGGGAGAAACACTAATTGACTGCCTAATCGTGTTAAGTTTATATTCGTCCGGAAAAAATCAAAATATGGGTCGGGGTTTGAGAATGCAAGGTCAAGATTCAAGAGCGGTGTCAGGTTTTCTATTCGTCGGAATGATTGGAATACCGGCGATTAGGGTTCCGGTGAGAGAAGAGAGAAACGAGAGGCTGGGTTTGGTTTATGGTATAGCTCCCGGTGACAAAGTAGTAAACCATCAGAGGGGCAGATCTAGCGTTCAATTTTCGGCATCTTGTATCTCGATATGGAGGGACGCATCGCCGATCTTAATTTGGGAGCATCGTTGATCTGGATTTGGAAGAATGGGAATAGATCGTGAGATTGAAAAACGGGAAGGATAAGAAAAGGGGAAAAGAAAGAAGTTTCTGGGGTCGAATGAGGTTTAGAGGGGGTAAAGTTTTTTATTTAATAATATAAATATTAAATAAATTATAAATTAATTAGAAAAGAAATTAATAAGGGTATAATAGTCTTTTTAGGTCAGATAGGGACTAAACGTGCAACAAAAATATAAAATAGGGATGGTCCGAGTTAAAAAAAGTTGTTAGGGACCAAACTCGCAGATTACCCTAAACCATAGGGACCATCCTTGTAATTTACCCTAATATATATATATATATATATATATATATATATATATATATATATATATATATATATATATATATATATATATATATATATATATATATATATATATATATATATATAGTTAGGTTCATTTGAGACCACCTATATTTTGTGAGACCGTGAGACGCATTTTTTTATTTATTTTTTATTTTTTTTAGTTAATTCATGTTCCGAAAATAATATTTAAAAAAACATTTTTTTTTATTTTTCCATTTATTTTGCATTTTAAAATTATTTTTAGAATATGTACAGTGTAATATTCTATTTAGAATAATTCACGTATTTTAAAAAAAAAATAGAATTTTTTTAATTTTTTTTTAGTTAATTCAAGTTCCGAAAATAATATTTAAAAAAAGAATTTTTAGATTTTTCCATTTATTTTGCATTTTAAAATTATTTTTTAGAATATGTCAGTGTAATATTTTATTTAGAATATTTCACGTATTTTTAAAAAAAAAAACGGAATTTTTTTTATATTTTTTTTAGTTAATTCAAGTTCCGAAAATAATATTTAAAAAAAGAATTTTTGGATTTTTCAATTTATTTTGTATTTTAAAATTATTTTTAGATTTGGTCTCACGGTCTTACAAAATTAGAATGGTTTCAAATTAACCTGAACATATATATATATATATATATATATATATATATATATATATATATATATATATATATATATATATATATTGGTGAGTGATTGATTGGTCATATATAGAGTCATCCTAATTTTAAAATTACTTGTGAGTGGGATCCTATCACACGCGACCCCAGTACCTCCAGGAATATGTTTGTAGTAAACTTCAGCAAAACTAGCGAAGCTTCCTCCCTGTTTGTTTGCCAATTCGACCTTTATAGATCATCTTCAATTCTCACTCGACTACCATCGGGAACGCATTATCATTTCTCCGTTCACATTTCAGTTTCAAAGTTCACTAATTTCTGTTTCAAAGTTCATTAGCACTACACAAATTCAACTTCTTCAAGTTCATCAATGGCTGGTGTATTACTTTTGGGAGCTGGGCTAGGAGCCGCTGTTTCTAAACTATCAGATGTCATCATACACGTATTAAGGAAATCCTCGCAGTTTCGCTCTGAGCTCACTCAAATACAAGAAACCATCACGACAATCAGGCCTATGATTGAAAACCTCCAGAATCAAACTAAGGTATCGGATCGGCTGAAACATGAACATGGTCTGTTCATTACTCAGATAGTGGGCGCAGAAGCCCTAATTCTGAAATGCAATCATGTCAGATGGTTCGAAATATACACTCACGCGGTCAAATTGGATAAGCTAAATGTATCGATGCTGAAATTCTTCCAGATTGTTGTTCCGTTGGTGATTCTTAATCGAATAGGAGATCTGCAAGAAAGTATAACGAAAGGGGATTCAAGTCGTTCGTCTTCTGGGGTTCCATTGCTGAATGATTCTGTGATAGGATTCGAAGATCAAGTTAGGAAATTGAAGGAGATGGTCCTCAAAGATTCAGTCGGTGATGAATGTTCAGTTGTAGTTGTTTCCGCTCCAGGAGGCTGTGGGAAGACTACTTTGGTAAAAACGCTCTGCCATGATCCCGATATTCAAGGTATTCATATTCATATTCCTCTCATCCTTTTCTACCAGATCTTTCCCTAATTGATTACAGTTTTCTCATTTGAACAGCAAAGTTCGATAAAAACGTCTACTTCGTTACTATCTCAGAGAGACCCAATTTACAAATCGTCATAAAAGATTTACTTGGGAACAAGGAAGCCGATTTTATTAATGATGCTGATGCAATCAATAAATGGGGAAGCTTTTTGAATGGAAATGAATCCGAAATACTATTAGTACTTGATGATGTATGGGATGCTTCCATTATTAACAGCTTCAAATTCAAGTTTCATAAATACAAGATTCTGGCTACATCTAGGACCATATTTACACAATTTAATACATATGAATTGCAACTTCTGAATGACCATGATGCAGCCAAGCTGTTTAGTTACTATGCAGTTTCAGAACATCAAAATGAAGATATACCAGATGATCTTGTTGACAAGGTAGACTGAACCCTTTATCCTTGCGAAAAAAAAAAGCTACTTTTCTGCTAACCAATGTAATTTTTATGTAGTTGCTCAAGTCACTGAAGTATAGCAAGAAACATCCGTTAACCCTTAGTGTCATTGGTGGTTTGCTGAAGGGGAAACCCGTTGTAAGTTGGCGTGTCATGTTGAAAAAACTGTCTGATGGGCAGCAATCTATTTTGGATTTGCATCAGTCTATAGAACATTGTCTAGCACGAAGTTTAGATGCACTTGAAAAAGAATCTGAAATGAAGAAATGTTACTTGGATTTGGGGTTATTTCCTGAAGATAAGAGGATATCGGCTACAATGCTTATGGACATGTGGGTTCATTTATACAACCATGAGGAAGACGGATCTACTACCTTAGAACGCCTCTTAGAGCTCTCCTACCGAAACCTTGCAACTATCTTAAGGTATACTTTGGGGGTGTTTGGGATTACTTTTTTAAGGGTAAAAGTCATTTTTGTAAAAGGACTTTTTGACTAGTGATTTTTTTTAAAAGAAAATTTTTAAAATGTGTTTGTTTTTGTTTTTGTTTTTAGGGTAATACGCAACTTTTCAAGTTAAAAGTTCCAAAAGTTACAAAAAGATAGAATTTGTGACTTTTCAAAAAGGGAAAATGATTTAATAAAGTAATTAACTTTTCGATATTCAAATGTAAGTAACTATCTTTTTTTTGTACATATCTAGGTAACAAACTTGTTGGAAGTGTTCACATATGACCATTATGATCTGCTATAGCAGGTTAAATCCTAGATATAAACGCTTTCAACAAGTTGGTTACCTAGATGTGTACAAAAAAAATGGTTACTCAAATATAACAAAACGAAAAATAAAAGTAAATTACACGAATGGTCCCTGTGGTTTGGGGGAATTTGTGTTTTTAGTCCCTAACTTATTTTTTTAACTTGAATGGTCCCTACTGTTTATTTTTGTTACGCATTTGATCCCTGTCTTATTTAAAAAGACTATTATGTCCTTATTAATTTATTTTTTAATTAATTTTCTTATTTATGTATTTATTTTTTACATATTTAAAAAAAATTAAGACACCACATATTTGTATCTTCTTGGATGATCCTTACTGTTTATTTTTTTATTAATTTTTTTTTTTAATTCGGGTGATCCCTATTGTTTAATTTTGTTACGGGCTTGGTCGCTGTCTTACCTAAAAAGATTATTGTGCCTTTATTAATTTTTTTAATAAATTTTTTATTTATGTATTTATTCTTTATATATTTAACAAAAATTAGTAGACCCCGCATATCTGTATCTCATCACCATTCTATCTCTCATCCTCCTCAACTTCTATTTATTTTCCATCTTTAGTGATATCGACGTCTTCATCATCTCTTCTTTTTTCGGTCCTTCAACTCCATCGAATCAACACCACAACAACCACTAAAGATGAAGAGACATTAGGTTATAGTGGTGGTTCGCCAGAGTTGAAGTACCAAAAAAAGAAGGATAGTGAAGACGTCGATGTTACTAAAGATGAAAAAGAAATAGAAGTTTGGGAAGATGAGAGATGGGCTGGTGACCGGTAAGACCCAAATTAAATTTCTCAAACGTGGTTTCAAGTTTACGATGAGGAGATACAGATATGTGGAGTTTATTAATTTTTTTAATATATAAAAAATATAAACATAAATAAGAAAATTAATTAAAAAATAAATTAATAAGGACATAATAGTAATATTAAGTAAGATGGGGACCAAACGCGCAACAAAAATAAACAGTAGGGACCATCCGAATTAAATTTCTCAAATGTGGTTTAAGGTTTATGGTGAGGAGATACAAATATGTGGAGTCTATTAATTTTTTTAAATATATAAAAAATAAATACGTAAATAAGAAAATTAATTAGAAAATAAATTTATAAAGGCATGATAGTCTTTTTAGGTAAGACAGGGACCAAATGCATAACAAAAATAAACAGTGGAACCAGTTAAAAAATAAGTTAAGGATCAAAAACACAAATTCTCCCAAACCATAAGGACCATTTTTGTAATTTAATTTTACTTTTCGTTTTGTTCATATTTGGATAACTATTTTTTTTGTACACATCCTAGTAACGAACTTGTTGAAAATGTTCACATCTAGGATTTAACATGCTATAGCAAGTCATAATGGTCATATGTGAATACGTCCAACAAGTTTGTTACCTAGATGTATACAAGAAAAAAGATAGTTACCTAGATGTGAACATACCGAAAAGTTAATTACCTTAATAAGTCATTTTCCCTTTCAAAAACTAACTTTTTCCTCACAAAAAGTTATTTTAAAAGATCTTTTTTATTATCCAAACATCTTTTGGCTCTTTTTTAACTTTTTGAAAAAGTCAAAAGTTGTTTTAAAAGCAATCCCAAACACCCTCTTGGCTTCTGAATTCAATTGTAGATAAAGAAAAAAATTATTGGTTCGCTAAATTTGAATAAACTCTTATTTGATCCTACCCTTTTCATTTGATTGCAGGATAAATTCACCTAAGATTGCCAACGACTAGAGGAGATAGCCGTCATACAACATGATTTATTGAGAACCCTAGGAATTCGTTTGAGTAACCAAGAGCCAATAGAGCATAGAGAGAGGTTAATCATAAATGCAAATGGAGAAGACCTTCCCCAATTGCCACATACTATCAATGCATGTATACTGTCCATTTCCACAGGTTTGTTTACCCCAAAGATGACATCTACTCAATAGTTAGAAACACATTTTTTCCATCATTCTAACCCTATTATGTGATGATGACAGATGAAACGTTTTCTTTTAAATGGAACGACATTCGAGCCCCTAAAGTTAAAGTTTTTGTGTTGAACTTCATGTCAAAAGTATACCACTTACCACAATTCATGCAAAGCATGAAGAAACTAAAGGTTCTAATCATCACAAACTATGGATATCACTTCTCAGACCTTCAAAACTTCCCATCGCCACAATCTTTATCATGTCTAACTACAATTCGATTACAACATGTTTCGGTATCTTCAATTTGCACACCAATCCTAGAATTAACAAACTTGAGGAAACTATCATTGATCATGTGCAGAATAGGCAACGGTTTCAATGAATTCATGCCCAACAAGTTAACATCAACCCTTTCAGAGATCGATATAGACTCTTGCGATGATTTACTCACATTTCCTTCAATGTTTTGCAATCTAATCGGCCTTAGAAAACTCAGCATCACTAATTGCCATGAATTGAGTTCACTTACCGAAGGATTTAGGAACCTAACCAATTTGGAAGTTTTGCGGCTTGCATCATGCTTGAATCTTATAGAATTGCCTGAATCGATGGGAAGCATGCAGAAATTAAGGGATCTTGATCTAACTGACTGTTTGAGTCTGAAGAAGTTGCCGGAGGATATCGGTTATTTAAGTGGTCTACGGATGATTCATATGAGAGGTTGCACGAAGCTGCATGAGATTCCATTGTCGATCAATGATTTAAACTCACTGGAAGTTGTTTGTGATCTTGAAATAAAGGTGCTATGGACAGAATTCACAAAAGTGAAAGTACAAGTGGTGGAAGAAGATACACTTGCTACCCTTTTGAAGATCATCGAAAGAGATATGCATGTTTAATGAGGTTTTATGTTCAAGGATGATAATCAACTATTCACCTTATTTGCTATAATCTATTGTGATTTACCTTATCATGTTGAACATTAGTATGGCATCCTTAATTCTTATGTTGGTTGTCTTCAATATCTATCGAACTTTTAGGGTATGTAAATTTTCTTGATCTTACATCTATTATAGTTTGTGAACCTATGTTTAATTTATCAGATACCCAATATTGGTATTGTGCTATTAGTTGTGTTTGCTATTTCTTGTTTGCTAAATAAATAGAGTAAATTTATAGTAGCAATCAAATTCATTTTTTGTTTAAGAAGATATGAGAATGTGATTCTTGAATGATGGTGGTCGACTCAAACAAAATTACATTAATTACTCTAGAGGGTAGGATAAGTAATAGTGAGAACCAGAGGAACTCAATTCATTACTTTACGGTGTTCTTAGACAAGGAGACTCTCTATCTCCATTCTTCTTTATTATTGCTATGGAGGGTTTTAATGTAGCTCTTAAGGCTGCCAAAGAGATAGGTATATTATGTGGGATTTGCATGCCTAGAAGTGACTTGCTTTTGTTGCATTTATTCTATGTTGATGATGCACTGTTTGTTGGTGAGTGGTCTAGAAATAACATGAAAACTTTGCCCGTGTTGATAGATTTCACTCGAAACTCTCCTTATGGAATCAAAGACACTCTCCTTCGGTGGGAGACTCATCCTTATAAAGTCGGTACTCGGTAATCTTCCAACTCACTATCTTTCTCTCTTCAAGGCTCATTTGGGCGCATTGGAGCCCCTTGAAAAGATTCTTATGGGGCGGTTTTGATGAGAAGAATAAAATACATTGGGTCTCTTGAGATAGGCATTGCTCCTAAGGAAAAAGGCGGAATTTGTGTTGGTTTGCTTAGGTATATTAGTCATTGGTATTCACAGTTTATCCAATAAACCTGACACATATCTCTCCAAAAAAAGTAAATGGGTGTGGAAGAACATTGCTAACATGGATGGTGAATTAAATAAAGTTGGGTTTGAATTCAATGTCATTCTTCGATTGAAGGTGAATATGGTTTATAAAACTTTATTTTGGCAGGATGTATGGTGCAGGAGTTCTTCATTTAAGAAAAAATGTAGGGTGGCTGATCGCATTGGCACTTTTAGATCCAATTGGGTTTGGAAGTCGAATTATGTTGTTGTGGGTTGAATCTATTAGACTGAGTTGTTCTCACACCCACTGTCATGTTCATAATAGGAATGTTGTAATTTGTCTCTTGTTCTTGTTTGCTCGCCCCGACTACTACTTGACTGACAGGTGTGTCTTTTACAAAATTTGTTTTTTCTAAAGAAAAAAAAAAGAATTCTCGATTGATTATGTATGAATGAAAGTTGATTGATTTTTTGAAACAAAAAATCTTATAATTAAATGATGGGAACAAATTGGCAAACAAAATTACTTTTAATTTAATACTTGATAAAACCAAAACAAGTCCTGAAATTCAAGACTAATGTGTTGTTTGTTTTTTATATGTAGATCTTCTTGGTATCTTTTGTCTGCGCCGCACAGATCACACGCGGAAATTAGGCTTCCCAGAGTGTTTGTTTTTTTGAAGACTGAAGACCTAAAAATGTATGTGCGTCCTCTTTTTGGCGTAAATATAGATCAACGTCTTCAAACATCTTCTAACCTAAAAAACACATATACTTTTGTTGTTTTTTTCTTTTTTAAACTTAGATTTATTTCAATTTTATCTATAATAAATAAATTGAAGAAAAAAAAGTTACAATACTTAAAGAAAAAAAGGTTCAATAATACAATCATGACCTTTGTAACAAATTTATAAATAAATATTTAATTACACTAATAATTGGTGGAGCTGTTTGTACAGATATAAAAAAAATCATAATATTGTCATATATTTTTATGCTAAATTTTATAAAACATTATTTAATGCAACATCGTTCATTTCTTGAAAAAATATTTATGATCAGTTTTTAATTGATTTAACTGAAAATGTAAAATAAAAACTTTGAAAATTTTCGTTTAGAATCAAAGTTTATTTTCATTCATGTTATATGTTAAATTCTTTTACCCTTAATTACAATGTTTAGGTATAATTTTACGATCAAAGTTTGTTAGTTTTTATCAAATATATACGATAATTCTTACCATTTTCACTTTTTATAAAATAGCGCATAAAATTTAATCTACATTTGTTAATTATTTATGATAAAGTTATAAAATTATATAAAAAAAAGTTCTTTTAAGTTTTTTTTTTTTAAATCAGTTTAGTTAGATTTTAGTTTATTCTATAACACCCTGCAAATGTTAAAAAAAAAAAACAAACAGTCTTCTTCTTTCAGAAGGCAAACGTGTGGTTTACCTCTTCTGATGCAGTGATTTGCAAATATAGTCCGTAGACTTTAAAAAAATTTACCTCAGAAAAAACAAATAGTACCTAAGAAAATCTGCATACAATAAAAACGTACTGATTCATTTGCCTCCCCTATTGACTGTGACTTTAATTATAACAAATATTGTAAAACAAAGAAACCCCTAATAACATAAGAAATGTTATGAAATATTAGTTTATGAATGACCATTGGATTCTCCATTTCTCCCATAACTCCCCATCATTATTTAGCATTAGTAACAACCATTTCAATGTGTTTTATGAATGTAATAATACACCATCATAATGTGCATTCATATTATAGCTCATCTTTCATCTTATTTGGATAGTATAAATAGTGAGCCATATGTATTAGGCACTTTATGAATTCATCACAAGTATTGGAATAAAAGTTCTCTCTACTCTTATTTCTTTCTTTAGTTTATAATTTATATTGTTATTTGATCATATTGTATAACACATTATCAGCACGACTCTACCATAGAGCTTTAACTCCTTATTGTTCTTGTAATTTTCAGGTATGTATTTTTTATAATTTTACATGTACAATGCTTACAACTTATTTTATGGAATTTCTTAACTAACAATTCCTTAACATATAAGTCTTTATTTTGATTTCTATTTTCATTATGGAAAACAATGCTAGAGAAAACTTTCTCTAGTTTTCATAGTACTAACATGCTCCTGTAGTAGCAATATCATGAGAAAGGTTTAAAATAAATATGAATTAATCTTAAGTCTACTTGTGTCTAAACAAGACAATGAGTTATTGATGAAAAATCACCAATTAATCGTGACCGGTTCTAGTGCATTCCCTGAAGTGAATGCAACATCATATAATCATAATAGTCATGGGTCTAACCGAGGTCATGGAGGTTATCATAATCATCATAAAAATAACAATATTACAAGTAACCACCAGAAGTTGGAAAATAGCAAAAACCCACATCCTAATGATAAAAGTGGTCAAGGCAAAAAAAAAAAGTTGAAAATGTTTATCACTAATGTGGAATGACCGATCATTAGTCTTGTACATACCGCTTACCAAAGCATTTTGTTGATCTTTATCAAGATTCTCTAAAATATAAAGAAAAATATCGAAACAAATTTTATTCAAAGTGATATCCATCAAGATCAACCAGAAATGACACATTTGGATGTTGTCGATTTTCTTATCTACCCTGAAGGGACAAGTGGTGATATGGATGGTGATTGATCAGAATAAATGTATTATGTTTTTATGTCATATTCGTTTCATGAGAAATGATGTCATCATAATTTTTATGTCATATTCGTTTCATGAGAAATGATGTCATAATATGAATTTATTTCTTTAAGTCGAATGTTTCTTATGTTTTATTTATTTATTGAAAAGAAACATGGATATTCCCAAAAGAAATAATGATGATATATTTCTTGCAGACAATGCAAGAAAATATTAATATAATAACAGGTAATCAAAAAATGATTGAAGGCTCCGGAAGAGCGAATATAATATTACAACAAGGGACACTAATTACAAATTAGTGATGCATTATTTTCGTCTAAATCACCAAGATTGAAGGCTCCGGAAGAGCGAATATAGTATTGCTACAAGTGACAATAATTACAATTGGTGATGCATTATTTTCATTAAAATCATCAAGAAATTTATTAAGTTTTACGGATATTCGGTCCAACGGATATCATGTTGAAACAACCAATGATTGTGATAAAGAGTATCTCAATATTACAAAAATGATATCGGATAAGAAAAGTGTTTTTTTGAAAAAATTACCTGTATTGTCCTCCGGATCGTACTATACAAATATTACAGTGATTCATGCTATTGAAAATATTAAAATGATGCATGCTATTGAAAATAAAAAAACGGTATGATATTACCTTCATAATTTGGCATGACCGGTTGGGTCATCCCGGATCAATTATGGTATGTAGAATAAATGAAAATTCAAGTGGTCATTCCTTGAAAAACCAGAAGATTTTTCAAGATAATGAATTGTGTTGCATGCTCTCCAGGAAAATTAATTTCCAGTCCATCATTGAATAAAGTTGGTTATGAAAGTCCTAGTTTTTTTTTTAAAATGAATTCAAGGGGATATATGTGGACCAATTCATCCACCATGTGGACCATTTAGATATTTTATGGTCTTAATTGACGCGTCAACTAGATGGTCACATGTGTGCTTGTTATCTAGCCGTAATCTCGCTTTCACAAGATTACTAGCACAAATAATCTTCCTAAGGGCACATTTTCCCGATTACCTAATTATGAAAATTTGACTTGACAATATTGAAGAATTTACATCATATGCTTTTAATGATTATTCCATGTCGTTTAGGAAAACTATTGAACATCATGTTGCATATGTTCATACACAAAATGGTTTAGCTGAGTCGTTAATCAAACACTTTTAATTAATTGCAAGACCATTACTAATGCATTCTAAATTTTCTATATTGACATGGGACATGCAATTTTACATGCAACATCACTTATATGCATAATGACAACTAGTTATCATGAGTTCTCCCCTATTCAACTGGTTTGCAATCAGTAACCAATTATTTACCATCCAAGGATGTTTAGATGTATAATATAT